ACACGGGGAGACACGGGGAGAGACACGGGGAGACACGGGGAGACACGGGGGGAGACGGGGAGACACGGGGAGACACGGGGACAAGGGGAGACACGGGGAGACACGGGGAGACACGGGGAGACACGGGGGGAGACCCGGGGGGAGACACGGGGAGACACGGGGAGACACGGGGAGACACGGGGAGACACGGGGACATGGGGACAAGGGGAGACACGGGGAGACACGGGGAGACACGGGGAGACACGGGGAGACACGGGGGGAGACACGGGGGGAGACACGGGGGGAGACACGGGGAGACACGGGGAGAGACACGGGGAGACACGGGGAGACACGGGGAGACACGGGGAGACACGGGGGGAGACACGGGGAGACACGGGGAGACACGGGGAGACACGGGGGGAGACACGGGGAGACACGGGGAGACACGGGGAGACACGGGGGGAGACACGGGGAGACACGGGGAGACACGGGGAGACACGGGGAGACACGGGGGGAGACACGGGGAGACACGGGGAGACACGGGGAGACACGGGGAGACACGGGGGGAGACACGGGGAGACACGGGGAGACACGGGGAGACACGGGGAGAGACACGGGGAGACACGGGGAGACACGGGGAGACACGGGGAGACACGGGGGGAGACGGGGAGACACGGGGAGACACGGGGACAAGGGGAGACACGGGGAGACACGGGGAGACACGGGGAGACACGGGGAGACACGGGGAGACACGGGGGGAGACACGGGGGGAGACACGGGGAGACACGGGGAGACACGGGGAGACACGGGGAGACACGGGGACATGGGGACAAGGGGAGACACGGGGAGACACGGGGAGACACGGGGAGACACGGGGAGACACGGGGGGAGACACGGGGGGAGACACGGGGGGAGACACGGGGAGACACGGGGAGAGACACGGGGAGACACGGGGAGAGACACGGGGAGACACGGGGAGACACGGGGAGACACGGGGAGACACGGGGAGACACGGGGAGACACGTGGAGACTTGCACGGTCGCTTGGTGTGGCCACAGTACCCCCGGTAGCCTTCACAGACGCTGCTGCTACTCGCTACTAACACAGCACTTGCCCCTACAGCCCTGCTAGAGGCTACCTGGGGGAGCTTTGTCTGTGTCTGTGTGTAACAGCACTTGCCCCTACAGCCCTGCTAGAGGCTACCTGGGGGAGCTTTGTCTGTGTGTCTGTGTCACAGCACTTGCCCCTACAGCCCTGCTAGAGGCTACCTGGGGGAGCTTTGTCTGTGTGTCTCTCTATGTGTGTGTCTGTATGTCTGTGTGTGTCTCTCTATGTGTGTGTGTGTGTGTATGGCTGTGTGTGTCTCTCTGTGTATGTGTATGTCTGTGTGTCTCTCTCTGTGTGTGTGTATGTCTGTGTGTGTCTCTCTGTGTGTGTGTGTGGACCCCCCTAATGGAACATCTTCGCCGGTTAGAAACATTTAGGCTGGCCTGCCTACGATCCATCCTGAGTTTATCCAGGCCGGATTGTGTGAGGAGCTCACAAATCCTTGAAAGATCTGGGCAAGGTCCCATCGGCGAGCTCCTCCGGCAGGCAAGGCTGCGATGGCTGGGTCATGTAGCCCGCATGCCCAGCCACCGCATGCCGAAACAGCTTTTGTTTGGCCGGATTGAGGGGGCTAAGCGGGCGCGGCACGGGCTAGAGAAGAGATGGAGTGATGTGGTACAGGAGGACGTGGAGCTGAGTGGACTTGCCGATGACTGGTACCAGCGGTGTCAAGATCGGCCTCTGTGGAGGAGGCTCGTGAAGGACGCTACTGGGCAGTTGGAGGTAGTCGCCCTCCAACAACAATGGAGGGCGGAGGAGCGACGCTCACAACAACGAGCGGAGCGCCGGGTGGCTAAAGCACAGCAGGTTGGCACAGTAGGGGGCACAGGTGGTGCATCAGCCAGTCATCTCAGTCAGTCGACCCATGGCACCTGGGTCTGCCCCGTGACCTCCTGCCAGTGGGCGTTCGACACTCTACGTGGCCTCAAGGTGCACATAGCCTGGCACAAGCGTCGTGGTGACGTCACCGCCACTTCGTGGCGAATGGCGGTTGTTGTTGTTGTGTCTGTATGTCTGTGTGTGTCTCTCTGTGTGTGTGTCTGTGTGTCTCTCTGTGTGTGTCTGTATGTCAGTGTGTGTCTGTATGTCTGTGTGTGTCTGTATGTCTGTGTGTGTCTCTGTGTGTGTGTCTGTATGTCTGTCTGAGTCTCTCTGTGTGTGTCTGTATGTCTGTCTGAGTCTCTCTGTGTGTGTCTGTATGTCTGTGTGTGTCTGTATGTCTGTGTGTGTCTCTCTGTCCGGCAAAACAACCCTTCCCATCAACCAGAGGCGAGGAGTGGTGGTCGTGGTTACTTATGCCCCCACCAAAGACGAACATCCGTGGAGGGATGCAGGCACAGCCGATGAGTCAGATGCCTTCTATGACCTCCTGTCATAAGTGCTGGCTAAAGTGGCCCCTCGGGATAGAGTCACCTTGTTGGGTGACTTCAATGCCCGAGTTGGTCATGATGCTGGCACCTGGTCTGGAGTAATTGGAGGGCATGGTCCAGATCAGCTCAATAACAACGGTAGCATGCTGCTAGATTTTTGTGCAGCCCATGGGCTTGTAATTACCAACACGCTGGTCCGGCATCGGCGCATCCACACAACATCATGGATGCATGCCGGGTCCAAGCAAGAACATCTGCTGGACTACATAGTGACGGACCAGTGGATGCAAGCCTATGTCCTTGACACCAGGACCTACCGTGGAGCTGATCTGCCCTCTGACCATCGACTTGTCATCTGTAAGATGCGCCTGCCATTCTTCCACTCCGGTGGTGGGTGTACACCCAGGACCCCATTCCAACCTAAAGTGGCCTGGTCTCAGTTATCTGATGAAAGTTGCAAGTGAGAATTTGATCATTGCTTGCGGCTGGGGTTGGCATCGTCCCCCACTCCTCCTGATGTCGAGGGTAAATGGGCGAGGTTTAAGATTGTCACTCATGCAGCTGCATTGGCTCTTTTGGGTACGCGGTCCAGACTTCCCCAGAGATCCTGGCTGACAGAGGCGGTGTTCAGGGTGGTTGAGAAAAAGCGACAGGCCCATTGTCATTGGCTACAGAATCCCACGTCAGAGAATGAGGAGGCTGGACCACTGGATGGGTTCCGCAGGATTGGAAGGATGCCCTGGTGGTCCCCCTCTTTAAGAAGGGGGACCACACAGACTGTAACAACTACAGGGGCATCTCGCTCCTCAGTGTGCCGGGAAAGGTCCTGGCAAGGATTATTCAACATCGCCTGGCCAGGCACGCTGAGGAGAGGCTTGCGGAGCCTCAATGCGGTTTCAGGAAAGGGCGGTCCTGCACAGATGCCATATTTTATGTCCGTCTGCTACAGCAGAGGTGTAGGGAATTCCAGCAAGTCCGACATCTCTGCTTTATTGACCTGGTCAAGGCCTATGATACCATCAGTAGGTCTGGGCTCTGGGTTGTTCTTGGTGCTTTTGGAGTCCCTGACCCTCTGCTCACGATCATTAAGGACCTTCATAATGGTGAACGGGCCCGGATAAATCTACGTGGCCGGGAGTCAGAGCCATTCCCTGTACACCTTGGGGTGCGACAGGGATGTCCTCTGGCTCCCACATTATTTAACATCTATTTTGACCACGTAGTTCGTGAAGCTTTCAATAGCTGTACCCGGGGAATCTCCACATGGTTCAGATATAATGGAAGGCTGATCGATGCCCGGGTGTGGTCAAGGGATGGCTCCCTATTGCTCAACCACGTTATGTATGCCGATGATTTGGTAATAGCTGCTCATTCAGAGGAGGAGTTGGAGACGCTGCTGCTGAGACTGGAGCGTGCCACTAAGAGATGGGGCCTTACCATCAGCCCCACCAAAACTAAGCACCTGCCTTGGTATTTTGTACCATTGGACACTCCACCCCCACAACTCCCAATCGGCGATGGAGCAGTTGTGGAGAGAGTGGAGAGTTTCCCATACCTGGGCAGTGTGCTTATGACCGGCTCCAGTTTAACAGTAGAAGTCTCACTCCGAATCAGTCGAGCGGCAATATTTTTTCATCGGTTGCGTAACGCTGTGTGGAAGCTACCTGGTCTGTCGCTCCGCACGAAGCTTCAGGTCTTCTCGGCCACGGTCATTCCTTCCCTTCTCTATGCTTGCGAAACGTGGACCCCCCTAATGGAACATCTTCGCCAGTTAGAAACATTTAGGCTGGCCTACCTACGATCCATCCTGGGTTTAACCAGGCTGGATTGTGTGAGGAGCTCACAAATCCTTGAAAGATCTGGGCACGGTCCCATCGGTGAGCTCCTCCAGCAGGCAAGGCTGCGTTGGCTGGGTCATGTAGCCCACATGCCCAGCCACCGCATGCCGAAACAGATTTTGTTCGGCCGGATCGAGAGGGCTAAACGGGCGCGGCACGGGCTAGAGAAGAGATGGAGTGATGTGGTACAGAAGGACGTGGAGCTGAGTGAACTTGCCGATGACTGGTACCAGCGGTGTCAAGATCAGCCTCTGTGGAGGAGGCTCGTGAAGGACGCTACTGGGCAGTTGGAGGCAGTCGCCCTCCAACAACAACGGAGGGCGGAGGAGCGACGCTCAGAACAACGAGCGGAGCGCCGGGTGGCTAAAGCACAGCAGGTTGGCACAGTAGGGGGCACAGGTGGTGCATCAGCCAGTCATCTCAGTCAGTCGACCCGTGGCACCTGGGTCTGCCCCGTGACCTCCTGCCAGCGGGCGTTCGACACTTCACGTGGCCTCAAGGTGCACATAGCCTGGCACAAGCGTCGTGGTGATGTCACCGCCACTTAGTGGCGAATGGCGGTTGTTGTTGTTGTTGTCTGTGTGTGACTCTATGTGTTACTATGTCACTGTGTGTGTGTGACTGTGTGTGTGTGTCACTGTGTGTGTGTGACTGTGTGTGTGTGTGACTGTATGTGTGACTGTGTGTGTGTCTGTGTCTGTATCAGAACAATCCCCAGGTCTGTCCCTATGGCCTCTACGCTGAGCAGATTTCAGGAACGGCGTTCACCTGCCCACGTGCTACCAATCAACGCAGGTACCACTAGCACAACCACCACTACCACCACCACCACAACCACCACTACCACCACTACCACCACCACAACCACCACTACCACCACCACTACCACAACCACCACCACCACTACCACCACTACCACCACCACCAACACCAGTGGAGACTAAAGGGCTCTAAGAAAAGCCGTCTCGGGTGTGGACCAATCAAATTCAAGGACAGTGCATATTATTATCAGAGTTGTCTCTTTTGTTTGCATTTTGACTGCTTGTGTTGACTGCTTACATATTCTTAAATATTACATATTCTTAAAATATTATTATAATAAAATATTATTATTTTATTGTTTCCCTTCAACGTGACTTTACCGAAAGAGCTACTAATATGTAAAATAATATAATATAATATTATTTTATTGTTTACCTTATTGTTTCTCTTCAACGTGACTTTACCGAAAGAGAATTACTGCAGTTACGAACGTTTTAAATCAACAACAACATTATAAACACCATCAACAACATCAACAACATCAAAAACCTCAACAACAACATTATAAACACCATCAACAACAACCATCAACAACAACAACATCAATAACCTCAACAACAACATTATAAACACCAACAACACCATCAACAACCTCAACAACAACATCAATAACCTCAACAACAACATTATAAACACCATCAACACCATCAACAACATAACATCAACAACATCAATAACCTCAACAACAACATTATAAACACCATCAACACCATCCACAACATCAACAACAACATCAATAACCTCAACAACAACATTATAAACACCATCAACAACATCAACAACCTCAACAACAACATCAATAACCTCAACAACAACCATCAACAACATCAACAACATCATCAACAACAACATCAATAACCTCGACAACAACATTATAAACACCATCAACACCATCAACAACCTCAACAACAACATCAATAACCTCAACAACAACATTATAAACACCATCAACAACATCAACAACATAACATCAACAACATCAATAACCTCAACAACAACATTATAAACACCATCAACAACATCAATAACCTCAACAACAACATTATAAACATCATCAACAACATCAATAACCTCAACAACAACCATCAACAACATCAACAACATCAATAACCTCAACAACAACCATCAACAACATCAACAACAACAACAACAACATCAATAACCTCAACAACAACATTATAAACACCATCAACACCATCAACAACCTCAACAACAACATTTTAAACACCATCAACAACAACATCAACAACAACATCAACAACAACATCAACAACAACAGCAACATTATAAACACCAACAACAACATCAACAACATCAACAACAACATCAATAACCTCAACAACAACATTATAAACACCATCAACAACAACAACATCAATAACCTCAACAACAACATCAACAACATCAACAACAACAACATTATAACCACCAACAACAACAACCATCAACAACAACATCATAACCACCATCAACAACAACATCAACAACCTCAACAACAACAACAACATTATAAACACCATGAACAACAACATCAATAACCTCAACAACAACATTATAAACACCATCAACAACAACAACATCAATAACCTCAACAACAACATCAACAACATCAACAACAACAACATTATTACCACCAACAACAACAACCATCAACAACAACAACATTATAACCACCATCAACAACAACATCAACAACCTCAACAACAACAACAACATTATAAACACCATGAACAACAACATCAATAACCTCAACAACAACATTATAAACACCATTAACAACAACCTCAACAACAACATCAACAATGTCAACAACCTCAACAACAACATCAACAACAACATCAACAACTTCAACAACAACATTATAAACACCATCAACAACAACCTCAACAACAACATCAATAACCTCAACAACAACATTATAAACACTATCAACAACATCAACACCATCAACAAAATCAATAACCTCAACAGCAACATTATAAACACCATCAACAACAACATCAACAACAACATCAACAACTTCAACAACAACATTATAAACACCATCAACAACAACCTCAACAACAACATCAACAACAACATTATAAACAACATCAACAACATCAACAACAGCATCAATAACCTCAACAACAACATTATAAACACTATCAACAACATCAACAACATCAACAAAATCAATAACCTCAACAACAACATTATAAACACTATCAACAACATCAACAACATCAACAAAATCAATAACCTCAACAACAACATTATAAACACCATCAACAACAACATCAACAACAACCAACAACAACATTATAACCACCATCAACAATAACATCAACAATAACCTCAACAACAACATTATAAACACCATCAACAACAACATCAATAACCTCAACAACAACATTATCAATACCATCAACAACAACAACATCAATAACCTCAACAACAACCTCAACAACAACATCATCATCTACAACAACAACATCAACTACAACAACATTATAACCACCATCAACAACAACATCAACAACATTACTATTCTCGCTTGAACATTTTAACATTTGCTGGCTGGGTCTTAGTGTCCTTTACGTCAGGTCTACAAGATCCAAATGTCACCGTAGGGTACAGCTCCTAGCGGTAAGATTATTATTATTATTATTAACTCGTGAACTCGGGGAAGAAGTGCTCAAGCACTCAAGCATTTCTTCGCCAAGCAATTTTTATTTGTAAACAAAAGCTTGAAACTCTGTCGCAAGCAACACTACCACAACAACTACCACTAACACCACTACCACTACCACCACTACCACAACCACCACAACCACTACCACCACCACTACCACCACTACCACAACCACCACAACTACCACTACCACCACAACTACAACCACCACTACCACAACCACCACTACCACAACCACAACCACTACCACAACCACTACCACAACCACCACTACCACAACCACCACTACCACAACCACTACCACAACCACTACCACAACCACTAACACAACCACCACTACCACAACCACCACTACCACAACCACTACTACCACAACCACCACTACCACTACCACAACCACTACCACAACCACTACCACAACCACTACCACCACCACTACCACCACTACCACCACTACCACAACCGTTACCACAACTACCACTACCACTACCACCACAGCAACTACCACCGCAGCTACCGCCACAAACACCACTACCACAACCACCACTAGCACTACCACAACCACCACTACCACCACCACCACTACAACCACCACCACTACCACCACTACCACCACCACTACCACAACCACCACTACCACAACCACCACTAGCACAACCACTACCACCACCACCACTACCACAACCACCACAACTACCACTAACACCACTACCACAACCGTTACCACAACCACTACCACCACCACAACTACCACTACTGCCACCACCACTACCACCACAGCAACTACCACCGCAACTACCGCCACAAACACCACTACCACAACCACCACTAGCACAACCACTACCACCACCACAACTACCACCACCACCACTACCACCACCACTACCACCACCACAACTACCACTACCACCACTACCACTACCACAACCACTACCACAACCACCACTACCACAACCACCACAACTACCACCACCACAACTACCACTATCACCACCACTACCATCACCACAACCACCACTACCACCACTACCACCACTACCACCACTACCACAACCACTACCACTACCACCACCACTACCACAACCACCACTACCACTACCACAACCACCACTACCACAACCACCACCCACACTACCACAACCACTACCACAACCACCACAACCTCCACCACCACCACCGCAACCACGACCACAACCACCACAACCACCACTACCACAACCACTACAACCACCACCACTACCACAACCACCACCACTACCACCACCACTACCACCACAATCACCGTCACCACCACTACTACTGTAGTTGTTGTGGTGGTTGCTGTGTCTGTAGTTGGTGGTTGTGGTTGTTGTTGTGGTTGTAGTTGGTTTTGGTGGTTGTTGTGGCGGTAGATGGTTGTTGTGGTTTGTCGCGGCTGTATTTGCTGTAGTTGTTGCTGTAGTTGTTGTGGTTGTAGACGGTTGTTGTGGCTGTTGTTGTGGCTGTTGTTGTTGTGGTTGTTGTGGCTGTTGTTGTAGTTGTTGTGGTTGTAGTTGTTGTTGTTGTGGTTGTTGTTGTTGTGGCTGTAGTTGTTGTGGTGGTTGTTGTTGTGGCTGTAGTTGTTGTTGTTGTGGCTGTAATTGTTGTAGTTGTTGTTGTAGTTGTTGTGGTTGTAGTTGTTGTCGTTGTTGTTGTGGTTGTTGTTGTGGCTGTAGTTGTTGTTGTTGTTGTGGCTGTAGTTGTTGTTGTGGCTGTATTTGTTGTAGTTGTTGAGGTTATTGTAGTTGTTGTTGTAGTTGTGGTTGTAGTTGTTGTTGTTGTGGTTGTTGTGGTTGTTGTTGTTGTGGTTGTAGTTGTTGTGGTTGTTGTTGTGGTTGTTGTTGTAGTAGTTGTTGTTGTTGTGGTTGTAGTTGCTGTGGTTGTTGTTGTAGTTGTTGCTGTGGTTGTTATAGTTGTTGTGGTTCTTGTTGTTGTGGTTGTTGTAGTTGTTGTTGTGGTTGTTGTAGTTGTTGTTGTGGTTGTTGTAGTTGTTGTAGTTGTTATTGTTGTGGTTGTTGTAGTTGTTGCTGTGGTTGTTATTGTGGTTATAGTTGTTGTTGTGGTTGTTGATGTTGTTGTTGTAGTTGTTGTTGTGGTTGTTGTGGTTGTTGTTGTGGTTGTTGTTGTGGTTGTTGTTGTGGTTGTTGTTGTGGTTGTTGTTGTTGTGGTTGTTGTTGTGGTTGTTGTTGTGGTTGTTGTGGTTGTTGTGGTTGTGGTTGTTGTGGTTGTTGTAGTTGTTGTAGTTGTTGTTGTTGTTGTGGTTGTTGTTGTAGTTGTCGTTGTTGTGGTTGTTGTTGTTGTTGTTGTAGTTGTTGTTGTTGTTGTTGTAGTTGTTGTGGTTGTTGTAGTTGTTGTAGTTGTTGTTGTGGTTGATGTTGTAGTTGTCGTTGTTGTGGTTGTTGTTGATGTGGTTGTTGTAGTTGTAGTTGTTGTTGTGGTTGTTGTGGTTGTGGTTGTAGTTGTTGTTGTAGTTGTTGTTGATGTTGTTGTGGTTGTAGTTGTTGTTGTGGTTGTGGTTGTTGTTGTGGTTGTTCTTGTTGTTGTTGTAGTTGTTGTGGTTGTTGTTGTTGTTGTAGTTGTGGTTGTTGTTGATGTGGTTGTTGTAGTTGTAGTTGTTGTTGTGGTTGTTGTGGTTGTGGTTGTAGTTGTTGTTGTAGTTGTTGATGTTGTTGTGGTTGTAGTTGTTGTTGTGGTTGTGGTTGTTGTTGTGGTTGTTCTTGTTGTTGTTGTAGTTGTTGTGGTTGTTGTTGTTGTTGTAGTTGTTGTTGTTGTTGTTGTGATGGTTGTAGTTGGCTGTACCGCATCTTGCCGTCCGTGCGTCACTCTGAGTTCAAGCCGCTGGACCAGGGACACCTGACGAGTAGCTGGGACATGGAGCCAAACCCCAACCAGGTGGGACTCTGACTCAGTCAATCACTCACTCACTGACTCACTCACTCGCTCACTGACTCACTCACCCACTGACTCACTCACTGACTCACCCACTGACTCACTCACTGACTCACTCACTGACTCACTCACTGACTCACTCACTCACTCACTGACTCACCCACTGACTCACTCACCCACTGACTCACCCACTGACTCACTCACTCACTCACTGACTCACTCACTGACTCACTCACTGACTCACTCACTGACTCACTCACACACTGACTCACCCACTGACTCACCCACTGACTCACCCACTGACTCACTGACTCACTCACTGACTCACTTACTCACTGACTCACTCACTGACTCACACACTCACTCACCCACTGACTCACCCACTGACTCACTCACTGACTCACCCACTGACTCACTGACTCACTCACTGACTCACCCACTGACTCACTGACTCACTCACTGACTCACTCACTCACTGACTCACTCACTGACTCACTCACTCACTGACTCACTCACTGACTCACTGACTCACTCACTGACTCACTCACTGACTCACTCACTCACTCACTGACTCACTCACTCACTGACTCACTCACTGACTCACTCACTGACTCACTCACTGACTCACTCACTGACTCACTCACTGACTCACTCACTGACTCACTGACTCACTCACTGACTCACTCACTGACTCACTCACTCACTGACTCATTCACTCACTCACTCACCCACTGACTCACCCACTGACTCACTCACTGACTCACTCACTCACTCATTGACTCACTCACTGACTCACTAACACACTGACTCACCCACTGACTCACTCACTGACTCACTCACTCACTGACTCACCCACTGACTCACTCACTGACTGACTGACTCACTGACTCACTCACTGACTCACTCACTGACTCACTCACTGACTCACTCACTCACTCACTGACTCACTCACTCACTCACTGACTCACTCACTCACTCACTGACTCACTCACTCACTCACTGACTCACTGACTCACTCACTCACTCACTGACTCACTCACTGACTGACTCACTCACTGACTCACTCACTCACTGACTCACTCACTGACTCACTCACTGACTCACTGACTCACTCACTGACTCACTCACTGACTTACTCACTCACTGAATCACTCACTCACTGACTCACTCACTGACTCACCCACTGACTCACTCACTGACTCACCCACTGACACTCACTCACTCACTCACTGACTCACTGACTCACCCACTGACTCACCCACTGACTCACTGACTCACTCACTCACTCACTGACTCACTCACTGACTCACCCACTGACTCACCCACTGACTCACTCACTGACTCACTCACTGACTCAATCACTGACTCAATCACTCACACACTAACTCACTGACTCACTCACTCACTGACTCACCCACTGACTCACCCACTGACTCACTCACTGACTCACCCACTGACTCACCCACTGACTCACTGACTCACTCACTGACTCACTCACTGACTCACTCACTGACTCACTCACTCACTGACTCACTCACTGACTCACTGACTCACTCACTCACTCACTGACTCACTCACTGACTCACCCACTGACTCACTCACTGACTCACTCACTGACTCACCCACTGACTCACCCACTGACTCACTCACTCACTCACTGACTCACTCACTGACTCACTCACTGACTCACTGACTCACTCACTCACTCACTGACTCACTCACTGACTCACCCACTGACTCACTCACTGACTCACTCACTGACTCACCCACTGACTCACCCACTGACTCACTCACTCACTCACTGACTCACTCACTGACTCACTCACTCACTCACTGACTCACTCACTCACTCACTCACTGACTCACTCACTGACTCACTCACTCACTGACTCACTCACTCACTCACTGACTCACTCACTCACTCAATCACTCACTGACTCACTGACTCACTCACTCACTGACTCACTCACTGACTCATTCACTGACTCACTCACTCACTGACTCACTCACTGACTCACTCACTTACTGACTCACTCACTCACTCAATGACTCACTCACTCAATGACTCACTCACTTACTCACTCACCCACCCACTCACTCAATCATTGACTCACTCACTGACTCACTCACTGACTCACCCACTCACTCACTGACTCACTCATTGACTCACTCACTGACTCACTCACTGACTCACCCACTCACTCACTGACTGTCCACGACAGAGTTGCCCGTCCGGCACCGCGTGGAGGTAGGGGGTTGGTTTGCCGGACTGGGTCATGTAGCCCGCATGCCCAGCCACCGCATGCCGAAACAGCTTTTGTTCGGCCGGATTGAGGGGGCTAAACGGGCGCGGCACGGGCTAGAGAAGAGATGGAGTGATGTGGTACAGGAGGACGTGGAGCTGAGTGGACTTGCCGATGACCGGTACCAGCGGTGTCAAGATTGGCCTCTGTGGAGGAGGCTCGTGAAGGACGCTACTGGGCAGTTGGAGGCAGTCGCCCTCCATTTGCTGAGCTTTAGCCACCCGGCGCTCCGCTCGTTGTTGTGAGCGACGCTCACAACAACGAGCGGAGCGCCGGGTGGCTAAAGCTCAGCAAATTGGCACAGTAGGGGGCACAGGTGGTGCATCAGCCAGTCATCTCAGTCAGTCGACCCGTGGCACCTGGGTCTGCCCCGTGACCTCCTGCCAGCGGGCGTTCGACACTTCATGTGGCCTCAGGGTGCACATAGCCTGGCACAAGCGTCGTGGTGACGTCACCGCTACTTAGTGGCGATTGGCGGTTGTTGTGTGTGTGTCTCTGTGTGTGTCTGTGTGTGTGTGTGTGTGTTTCTGTGTGTCTGCGTTTGTCTGTGTCTGTCTGTATGTCTATGTGTGTGTCTGTGTGTGTGTGTCTGTGTTTGTGTCTGTGTATGTGTGTGTGACTGTGTCTGTGTATGTGTGTGTGACTGTGTCTGTGTATGTGTGTGTGACTGTGTCTGTGTATGTGTGTGTGACTGTGTCTGTGTATGTGTGTGTGACTGTGTTTGTGTGTGTCTATCTGTGTGTGTGTTTGTGTATGTGTGTGTCTATCTGTGTGTCTGTGTTTGTGTGTCTATCTGTGTGTCTGTGTGTGTGTGTCTATCTGTGTGTCTGTGTGTGTGTCTATCTGTGTGTCTGTGTGTGTGTGTCTGTGTGTTTGTGTGTGTGTCTGTGTATGTGTGTGTGTGTCACTGTGTGTGTGTCACTGTGTGTGTCACTGTGTGTGTGTGTCACTGTGTGTGTCACTGTGTGTGTGTCACTGTGTGTGTCACTGTGTGTGTGTCACTGTGTGTGTGTGTCACTGTGTGTGTCACTGTGTGTGTGTCACTGTGTGTGTCACTGTGTGTGTGTCACTGTGTGTGTGTGTCACTGTGTGTGTCACTGTGTGTCATGGGGAGCGGTAGTGTAGTGGTTAGCGCTACGCTGCGCTATGAACCTGGCGGCCCGGGTTCGATTCCCGCTCACAGCCAACACCAGTGACGATTATCTGTACCGGTCCCGGGCCTCCCCTAGGTCGACTCAGCCTTAAATGAGTACCTGGTGTGGTGTGTAAACATTGCCACTGGGGAGACAAAGGCGGTCGGGCGTGGTGCTGGCCACCCACCCCCTCGTGTACCCTTCCGGCCTTCATAGGTGCTCGCTAACAGCACTTGCCCCTACAGTCTGTTAAGGCTATATGGGGGATCTTTGTCTTTGTCTTTGTGTGTGTCACTGTGTGTGTCACTGTGTGTGTGTGTGTCACTGTGTGGGCTTGTAATTACCAACACGCTGTTCCGGCATCGGTGCATCCACACAACATCATGGATGCATGCCGGGTCCAAGCAAGAACATCTGCTGGACTACATAGTGACGGACCAGCGGATGCGAGCCCATGTCCTTGACACCAGGACCTACCGTGGAGCTGATCTGCCCTCTGACCATCGACTAGTCATCTGTAAGATGCGCCTGCCATTCTTCCACTCCGGTGGTGGGTGTACACCCAGGACCCCATTCCAACCTAAAGTGGCCTGGTCTCAGTTATCTGATGAAAGTTGCAAGCGAGAATTTCATCATCGATTGTGGCTGGGATTGGCATCGTCCCCGACTCCTCCTGATGTCGAGGGTAAATGGGCGAGGTTTAGGACTGTGACTCATGCAGCTGCAATGGCTGCTTTGGGTACGCGGTCCAGACCTCCCCAGAGACCCTGGCTGACAGAGGAGGTGTTCAGGATGGTTGAGAAAAAGCGACAGGCCCACTGTCATCGGCTACAGAATCCCACGTCAGAGAATGAGGAGGCTTATCACAGCCTTCGCTCGGGGGTT